ATTTTGGGTCTGCATCAGTGTTTACTTTCTTCAACTCTACCCTTTGCTAGGATCTTGCACAAACAGCTATCCATTTTGCGTAGCATTCAGTCACTCATTAAACGATGTTAGACTTCTGTTGGTGAACAATACTCTCAAGAGACATTAAAAATGCCAAATTCCCACTTTTTAGTTAAAAATGCATCCTTCTGCTCCTCGCAGTCATCTGGGATATTCAATTGTCACTTGTTCGCAGTCATCTGGGAGGCTTTCATTAGAAACAATGACGTTAGATTTCATTTGTCAAGAAATCCCTTGTGTGAAAGAAAGTACTTTTAAAGACATACCCCCACCAATCAAATGGGTAAGAAACTTTTTGCTTTTCACAGTGTCATCAATGGGGCACACTTATATTTCGTAAAAAAAAATTAAGACACATGATTGTCAAGGCATTAGCATCTTTAGCACTTATTGCTGGCATCGTATAGAGAGGTTCTGAGGAACAGGGGGAACATGTCAGCAAACTAATAAAGGGACAACTAAAAAGCAATAGTCTTGAGAGAGTACAGGGGTACATCGATTTTGATTTTGGTCACAAGAGAACACTGAAAACTCGTTTAAACATTAAATATACAAGATATATCAAACTCGATTAATCTGCAAAGTGGTGTTAAGTTAAAAGCTGGTGTACATAGAGGCTTCGACCCTACTTTCACCGTATAGAAATTTTTGTCACCGTTCAGATTTCCCGCCAAAGTGAAAGGTGTGGTCTAAAAAAAGGGTTTTCGGAGTTCCGCCCATATCTCTGAAATTTCTCTTTGAATCTGCAACTGCATTCACTTTAGTTTCTAATCAAATTAGACTAGAGCAAATATCAAGATCATCTGATCAATTAAGCCCGATCAATGACCAATATTCCATCATAGCAACGGTACAAATATAATTGTAAAGAGTAGTGTTTTGTAGAATCTGACGTGTCTCTAACTAAGAATATTAAGGTTTCAGCTTTTCTGCATTGTGACGTTCAGATCTATGGTATCTATGCCATCTGGCTATTTCCATTTTTAGTTTGACGGAATACACAAGCGCGAAAAATGGTCCTAATTGAAAATACAACAGTCTTGAACTAACTCAATCTGCAGACAGTACTGTTTCGCCCTTTGTGGGCTCATCAGTGCAGCACAGAGATGGTCTGAGACACAGCCCGAGCTATGCTGTCAGAGCAGCAAGGCAGCATATATAAAAATATATCATAGAGTTGACGAGAATAAGACGAGATATATGTATATCTCCTCAAGAGTGAGTTACTCATGAAACAGGCTTGTAGAGATAAACCTATATATATATATATATAGAATCAAAGAAAACACTTTCGTGAGACGTTTCGCTTTCGCTTCATCAGTAATAACTTTACAAAATCAGAGGAGCCTACTTATCAACCTAAATTACAATAGAACACTACAATACAATAGAAACCAAAGGGGCACCTGCCTTATACAATACATATTGTCAAATGTGTTAGAACGCAAACTGTTATGGGGAACTGGGAGAGAAGTGAAAAGAAAGGTAGAAGAAAGAATGCGATGGAGATGCTGGTGTTGGCTGTCTCACAAGAGATAGATGAAAGCCATAAAAGTAAAAAACAAAATAATGAGAAGATAAGCTATAAACAAAAGAGCCGAAATTAAAAATTAAAAATAAAACTTTTAAAAATTTAAAACTGTAGAAAAATATATAAATGTCCTATGTATCTACCTGCCTAGTATTGAGACCCATCGGAGAGAAAGTATTCAAGCGATATTGCCAAAAACTTTCTCTCCTCCTATCATTACCTGTTAACCTATCTATGACCTTAACACTTATGTCATTCAGGAACCCCCGATGTCCTTCCTCAGAAAAATGTCTGAAAAATTCCATCTGGGGCACTGAAGACCCTAAATTAAACTTACGACTACACGCCTTGTAATTATTAAACCTAAGCCTAAAAGGCGTGCATGTGCTACCCACATACTGGACTCCACAGACATTGCACTCAATTAAGTACACAACATTGGACGAGTCACAGTTAAACGAATAGTTGATCTTATATTCTTTATCTATAGTGCTAGACTTAAAATTATCGCTGTTAGACATTACTTTACACACTTGAAATCTGGACTTCTTACAACACGAACTTCCCCTGTTATTATGTCCCTTCTCCCTCCCACTTGTAAGCCTAGCCCTCACCAAAATATCCTTAAGATTCTTACACCTCCTAAAAGCAACTACTGGTGGCACAGGAAACACCTCCTTGTGCTCTTCTGAACCAGTGAGCAAGGTATGATGTTTCCTGGCAATGTTCCCCAAACCATTAAGTGTCGGATGGTATGTAGTCACGAGTGGAACCCTTCGTTGGTTTTCCTACTTCCCGCATTTTCCAGAAGAGTCTCCCTATCTAGCCTACGTACCCTATCTATTTGTTGATTAACAAGGGACTCTTCATACCCCCTATCCTTAAGCCATCCAGCGAGTTTACCTACATGTTCCTTAAACTGGCGATCATCTGAGCAAATCCTACGATACCTAAGAGCCTGACTATAGGAAATCGCCTTCTTTGTATGCCAAGGGTGACAAGACTTCTTATGTAAGAACTGATGGGTATCAGTTGGCTTACAAAATAAGTCTGTCATAAGGACTAAGGATAAGGACATGATTAGAAAAGAAGCAGATAAGGGTTCAGCGGTTGTAATTTGGGATCGGGGGGACTATATAATGGAGGCTAACCGACAATTAGACGATAAGCAGGTATATGAAGAGGTTGAGGTGGATCCCTCTGTAAAACTGGGTAAGACCATAAATGATAAGTTAAAAGAAACCATCTCAACAGTTGCCACGACACAATTAAGTTTACCAGTGAACATTCTACAGAATCTATTAGTTTCTTAGATGTCACGGTAAAAGTAGGAGAGGGGGGAGTCCTTATGACAGACTTATTTTGTAAGCCAACTGATACCCATCAGTTCTTACATAAGAAGTCTTGTCACCCTTGGCGTACAAAGAAGGCGATTTCCTATAGTCAGGCTCTTAGGTATCGTAGGATTTGCTCAGATGATCGCCAGTTTAAGGAACATGTAGGTAAACTCGCTGGATGGCTTAAGGATAGGGGGTATGAAGAGTCCCTTGTTAATCAACAAATAGATAGGGTACGTAGGCTAGATAGGGAGACTCTTCTGGAAAAAGCGGGAAGTAGGAAAACCAACGAAGGGAGGGCTGACAGGGTTCCACTCGTTACTACATACCATCCGACACTTAATGGTTTGGGGAACATTGCCAGGAAACACCATACCTTGCTCACTGGTTCAGAAGAGCACAAGGAGGTGTTTCCTGTGCCACTAGTAGTTGCTTTTAGGAGGTGTAAGAATCTTAAGGATATTTTGGTGAGGGCTAGGCTTACAAGTGGGAGGGAGAAGGGACACAATAACAGGGGAAGTTCATGTTGTTAGAAGTCCAGATGTCATGTGTGTAAAGTCATGTCTAACAGCGATAATTTTAAGTCTAGCACTACAGGTAAAGAATATAAGATCAACTATTCGTTTAACTGTGACTCGTCCAATGTTGTGTACTTAATTGAGTGCAATGTCTGTGGAGTCCAGTATGTAGGTAGCACATGCACGCCTTTTAGGCTTAGGTTTAATAATTACAAGGCGTGTAGTCGTAAGTTTAATTTAGGTTCTTCAGTGCCCCAGATGGAATTTTTCAGACATTTTTCTGAGGAAGGACATCGGGGGTTTCTGAATGACATAAGTGTTAAGGTCATAGATAGGTTAACAGGTTAATAATAGGAGGAGAGAAAGTTTTTGGCAATATCGCTTGAATACTTTCTCTCCGAAGGGTCTCAATACTAGGCAGGTAGATACATAGGACATTTATATATTCTTCTACAGTTTTAAATTTTTAAAAGTTTTTTTTATATATTTTTAATTTTTAATGTCGGCTCTTTGTTTATAGCTCATCTTCTCATTATTTTGTTTTTTGCTTTTATGGCTTTCATCTATCTCTTGTGAGACAGCCAACACCAGCATCTCCATCACATTCTTTCTTCTACCTTTCTTTTCACTTCTCTCCCAGTTCCCCATAACAGTTTGCGTTCTAACACATTTGACAATATGTATTGTATTAGGCAGGTGCCCCTTAGGTTTCTATTGTATTGTAGTGTTCTATTGTAATTTAGGTTGATAAGTAGGCTCCTCTGATTTTAAAGTTATTACTGATGAAGCGAAAGCGGAACGTCTTACGAAAGTGTTTTCTTTGATTCTATATATATATATTGTATTATAATATCTATAATATATATTTTCAGCAAATAATTACAAATTTTTATTTATATATAGCTGGTATATTAAAGAAAAATCATCAATATAGAGTTAGAGTGTTGAAAGTCGCATCAAAGATAATCGTACAGACGGACATATGAATATAATGTCAATATGCTAAGAATCGTATTTCCTTTTGAAAAAATTTAATTATAATCAAATATAATTATTATTTAAAAAACAAGAAGTGAAATCAAATCAGCAAAAGTACAATGACAATTTTGCAAATATCTTTCTGGGAAAAGTTAGTAGAAGCTTGAAAAAGACTTTTTGTGAAGTATTGGCAATATTCCACGAAAATTGAAACCACGTATCGATTAGGTAGAGTCAGAAGAATTTATTCTTTCAATATTGTAGCGGTTCTCGATTATTAAAAATGAGCATCAATATCCTAAGCTAGTATGGCAAATAATACTGCCAGAGTAATTCTTAAGATAATATTGTACTAAATGTTGCTCTAGAAAATTGATGAAGCTTATAATATTGAAATTTCTGCTATTACGAAACTTCAGTCCGATTATCACCAAACCATCAACCATAAATATACTTTAATATCATAGTGATATCAGTAATTTTTTGTTATCTAACAAGGTCGAGATACAGCAGGATAATACACCATTTGCTTGATAATTGATGAAGAGGCCGTCGAAAATAATGGAAAAAAAAATATTTTCGACAAAAATTTTGTTCTTTGATCTGTACTTTACTTTTACAATCTAGGAATATTTAAATCAAGTGAAGGATTGTAAAATTGAAATATACTTAATGAAAGGTGATCACTGAATATCAGCACCCACATCAACATCGATAAAAACAGTACCTGTTACATTGATTCTGTAGTAAACTTTTCCAGCATATTTTCAAAGGCATCTTTTTTCATATTCCTTGATGAAATATGTCTAAGACAATCATTCTTTAAATTTTGGACATCAGACTCAGCGATGATATAAACAATCTTGATTTCTCCATAGCCGTTAAAATTGGTGACACACGAGAAACTATAGGCCCCCATGTCCTCAAAAATGAGCAAATCACCACTGTCCATCTGCAAGAAAGGAATTAAAATACATATGAATGAATTTTTAGCATCTAGCATCTTTCCAAGCAAGGCAAACATCCAACCAACCAAAAACTTTATTCATAAGTCTCTCTATCAAACTGAGGCTGCATCGCTTTGCTTCAGAAAATTTGCTATCGATGGAATTGTCTAGTTTCCATACTGCTCGACCTGATGACGTAATTAGTTTACCCTAAACCTAACCCTAACACTAAACCTAAACCTAATCCTAAACCTTACCCTAACCCTTACCCTAACCCTTTACTTGAAATAATTAATCATACTAATTTACGACTATTAATCATGCTTATTTATGACTATCAAGTCGAGCAGTATGGAAACTAGACAATTCCATTGATTGTTAGTGATGGAAAACATTACTTGGATGCCAATTTTGTAACCGATCTACTCACAAAGACAATATAAAGTGCTTTATGAAACCTGTTTAACCTGTTTAAACTGTTACCCTAGCTCGTCTGAGCCAAGTTGGACACCGATATATGTTCCCGAATGCTCCAACTCACGCTGAATAGGAGCCACAGCCCCATCCAAGCAATAGAGTTCTTAAATGATGACATCAAAACAATCAATTGTCCAGACATAATTTTAAGAAGAACTCGTCACTTTTTGATGAAGATAGGGGGTTCTCGGAGGGATCCACGAGAATTTTTTGCTGACAACACTCTTTCTTTTCCAGTCAGGTATAATCAGGCATGCATTTGTTATCATTCTTTAGATATTCATTTTAAAGGTTGTGAAAAATACGTAAAGTTTGCTGGCCATTACAATCAAAAGTTTTATCATTGAACACTTTCACTGTCTAACACTGCATAAAACCATTTTATCACCAAAAAAGTGGTTATCAATACACCTTCATATTAGGTATGCTCTCTTTAGAATGGCAAACTTCAGGAAGAAACAATAGGATTTTCACAAAAGGTGTGCCAGATTTTCTTAGAGTGATTTACTCCTCGGGTAGAATTCAATCAAATTTAAAAAACCTACCTTTGGCAGTCGAAATCCTTCACCGATCAAGTCCGTTTGACTACATGTTGGCCCCCACAGAGTAGACAAATGCAAGGTTTCCTCTTTCTTGCTCTAAAAAGGTATAAAACAAAGACTGTATCAAAGAATTTATTAGTTTAAAAGGTGATTGACTTGAAAGCGATGAAAGCAAGATCATAAAACTTTTATAAACCCCCTCCCCAATGGCTTATAGTTCCTTCTATCTCAAAAGTTCATATGAGTTGCGTATGACAACTTAAAGCAAGCACCGCTTACATCGCTAAGTGCAAGTACCTTTTTACAAAATGTTACAGACTAAACTAAAAGCATTCGGTTTCGCTGATAAATCGTGGAGCAATATGTCATATACGATGTAATAATATTTCCGACAAATTTCCAACCTTGAATGGAATCGCTTGTCTGTTTCTCCAAAAGTACTACCGTAAGATTCCGAATAACCATATCTTTTATAAAAATATACTCTGGTATGCAGAGCAGCTTTGCCACAGAATGGCTGTGCTTAATAGGAAGCAGTAAATGGTCAGGTAGTCTTAGAAAGTTTCTTGCAAAGTTCAGTGATGTGGCATTGCCACCACTCAATCTCACCCATCAGTGCCTTAAAAAAATTTGCCTGAAGTTTTTTTGGAGAGACTGTTCATCAATCTTTGTGGGGACTTTTTGACGGTAATTCTAAAGGGAATTTAGCTTTACAATGTCAGATGCAAAGACGTAAAAGAATGATAAAAGGAAAAAAGCATTGAGATATAGCAGGAGATCATTTTGAAGGGTTTGCTTGATTTAGAACAGGCCAGTAATGACGCAATAGACACACCCACAGCACGTCAGATGAGGAAGAGGAAAAAAAGCAAACGCTAACTGGAGGAGCTTATCAGTCACACTCTTTGATATCAGCGCTTTTTCTGTCCTGGCACCCTCACTTGGATGGCACTTTCTACAAAAGCCAATTATTTCCAGATTTCTTGTTGGTACTAAATCCAAAATCAAGAGCCTCCTTTGGTAAAATTGTACCATGTGTCAAATTTCCCTACAGTTTCTCAGAAGAACTGAAATTGACAATGAGCTCCAGACCTTTTTTACATTCAAAAAAAGAAATTCCAAGATGAGAAGAGGGTCAATTGACAATTAGTGGTTCTGTTTAACTGGCATTAGAAGCAACGCAAAAGTATTCTATTTTCAAGACCACGGCAATATTGTATCAGTAGTTTTTATCTGCTGCACAATCTATTTTCAAAATAAATTAATTTACAGTACGATTAAGAGAACTGCTTTAATAAAAATTGCTTAGAACATTGCATTTTCCGGGGAACTAGAATTATCAAAATTCGAAAATTTTCTTTTCCTTCCACGGCAACCATGGTGCCGCCTCGAGTAGTTACTATATCCAGAGCTTGTCCCGATATACAGATCAGATCCATCGGGTTGGAAGGTCCGTTAGCCCGTTTTTATTGTATTGGCTTGTCAAAGAGTTTATCAAAGAATCCTGAAAAATTTGTTTGCAAAATTGCAAATTGTATAATGTGCAGCTAGTGTCAATGCTGATGTGCAGTCGTCTAGCTAAAAGAAAGAAGAAGGCTTGATGCAGGCAAATTACACATGCCATGTTCCTTTTGTTTCAGGGCCTCTGACGAAAGGGGGCCGGGGGGCTATGGCCCCCTCTTTTTGCAAAATGATAGAGCTTTTTTAAAATCTTTTGTTATGATTGTTAAAACTCCCTTCCCCCCCCCACTTTCCACCTCGCGTCGAAGCCCATGTGTTTTATGTTCCCATTTGAAATGATAATGTCCTCGGCACAAATTTAGGGCTCCCCGGTAAAAATCTGACCTCTCACAGGGGCACTTAGACGGGGGTGTCTTAATGGTGTGAGATGGTTGAGACAGAACTTTGCTGGCTCTAAATTACTGGTTTACCAATAGTTTATAAAAGTTGGAATTAAATTACATCATCCCGGCAATACGAGGTATGTCAATGGGATTTTAGGCATTATTGTTTTGAATTTAATATATAGGTATTAAATGGTTTTAGAAAAGGAAACAATTTTAGACATACTGCAGCCTGACACTCTTTAAATTAGAAAATGTTATAATAATGATAAAAAATTTGAAGTTAGAAAATATTCACTCAGTTTTGGATGAAATAGGAATAAATTATACTTACATGTCAAATATACATGTCAAAAACACATGTATATGGTAAGTAAGTTAGTTTCAAACAATATCTTTGTAGTAAAGAATCTAAAATTTGCTTTGAAAAAAGCAAACATTTTGAGGCATGTTATTAAAGCAACTGGTTTTCAATCTATATTCTGAAGTTTTATGCTCTGAAGAGTGTCAGACGAAAAACATTTGCTTTTTAAGTCAGTTTTCCAATCAGTGCAGCATGCCTAAAGAAATATTACCATTGGAACAAACGTTGAAAACAAACCCATCTGTCTACACAAAAGCAGTTTCATTTCAAGCAGATGCCTACACAAGGATAAAATGTTTGCATTTTTCACAGCCATTTCACACAGGTATCACGGTGTTCAAACAGTTTTATTGCTCTTACCTTTAATGGCCTTGGTGGAAGGTCTGGGTCATAGTAGAAGAATGATCCATGAATGCCATCATTGAGATAATATACAAAGTTCTGGAAGGCGAACAAATTTTTTGATGACGTAACGGTATACGCACGTGCTTTGATGGAAAACGTAACGTTAAGCTACTTTATCAAGGTTAAAAGCATCGAACCATGATGAAAGGAGAGGGTATAACGAAAGCTTGTTTTTCACATCATGGAAATGCATCTGTTGAGATTTTAAACTTTTATTATGTATCTTTAAAGGGTTCTTGGAGCTTACCTGGTTTTCTGTCTTATTTCCATTCACTTCAGGAGTATGTTTAACAGCCGACACTCGGGACACAAGTGTGAACGCTGATTGTACGTAGAATCTTCCAGGTTCAGCAATAATTTTGACACCAAAAGATGGTGGGAAATGCTCAGCAAGTGCTTGCTGGAGAGTATTTGCGATCTTGGAAAAAAATTGTGTATTATAATATCAAAAAGAACACTAACATGATTTGGATTACACTAGTAAAGCAGCCCATGGTTTTGTAGATGGCTGAGGATGGAATCATAGCCATTAGAAAAAATCCTGGTCTACTAGCCTTTTGTTCCTATTCTTTGCTTGTGTACGACTGCCGTTCTGTTTTGGGTGTTTTTAATATATTCGGTGGTGATAATACAGAATGACCAGTTCAAATTTTGCAATCAGGGCTTGCGGAAGGGGGGGGGGGGGGCGGGGGGAAGGAGAGCGAGGGGAGCATTCCCTCCCCTTTTCTTCAAAAAGAAAACAAAATCTTAGACAAACGTATAAAGGAATATAGTCCACCATTCAGTTAGTAATTTTGTTCAATAGAGGAACAAGGAATCAACAGTTTCCTCCTTTTGAAATATCATCAAAAATATCGTTCAAATGCGTGCCACCTTTTGCGTCAGCCATTTTGAGATAAAGTTTCATCTTGTCCCATACCTTGGGCCACATGACAAGAACCGATGTGTTTCCAAGTTCGCTTTGAGAACAAAACAACAGAACAGTCTTCCAGGCCAGATTTTGTCCTATTGACTATGGTGAAATAAACTGAATATCCTCTACATGTGTATCATTCTAATAACAAGCCAAAGCAGCATGCATATCATGGGTTCCAACGCAGGTTGGAAAATTGGAGGGGGAGGGGGGCAAGGGAGATTTTAATAATCATAACAACATAATTTTTAAAAAGCTCTATTTTTTTGAAAAAAAGTGTAGGGGGCAATGCCCTTCTGGCCTCCTTTGTCAAATGCCTTGCATATAGCAATCAAGTTATAGCGATTGAGGAAAGTGAACAGCAATATGCATGCGAGAATGTGAAAACACTCTCTGTAACAAAATTAAGCAACTTGTTAAACTTCAAAATAAATATTTCAAATAGTATGTATAAAGAACAAACTTTATATGCAAAAATGAAATAATCATTCTACTTTCAGTGATACAGTTAGGGAGCGTTTTTGACTCAGTTGCTTATGTAAGGAAAGCATATGTTGAGCCAAACGTGTATAAAACAATTTGTGGTCTGTTGAATGCAGAATGTAGTTGATACTGTAACGTACCTCTTTGAAAAGATAATCTTTCTTTTTTACACCAGGAAAGCCACCACCAATGTCGAGAATTGAAAAATTGAGTCCCATGTTTTCCTTAAAAGTTAGCAAAATTTTTCGTAAACGTTGGATTTCAACGACGAAGGTATGCTTTACGAAAAACATATATTAAAGACTAGATTTGCTACACTAAAACGATGTACTGTAATTGTTTTCTCCAAACCAGTTTGTCGATCACTATTTCTCGCAAGGATCTGGGCACGAAGGACTCAGGGGTACTTTTTTTCAACAATAGTCAAGTGAAAAGGTAGTCTCTTAAACATGATACGATACACGGGCGTCACAACAACCCCATGCATCCCCTGCACTCCAGGGGGATATATTCAGCCCCAGACCTCAACTTGTTGGACATATTCTTTACTTTTCAAACTTAATTTATTAGACCCTTGGCACGTCTTGTGCACATTTGTTCACTGAGGACAATCTTTCAGCCACATCTTTGTATTACTAAATGGTGTTTGTCTCTTCTCTTCTTACTCCTTTTGTTTCCCTTTCTTATTTAACCCACAACCCTTGTGCTCCCAGTCCTGCTGTCTCCAGGTACCCTATGATCATATATTTCTCCTTTATCTCTTGATCGGCACCTATTTGCACACCTATTTTGCATCCCTTGTACACCTATTTGTCAATATGTAACTGTTTCACATAATAATAGAAAAATACCGCTTCATCAAAAACTGTTCTTGCTGCTTTGACGGCATTACGAAACATTGTTGGATGGGCACAATCACTGCCAACGTGGAAACTAAAAATGAAAATGGACTTTGTTAGTTTGTGATTTCCATTGAGCAAAATGAAAATTGACTTTGTGGTTGATCTGAGAGATTGTATTTTAAGAAAAAGTGACGGAGATATTTGTAAGATAACAACAAAAACAACAGATTGGTGAAATTAAAAGCAAAATGTCGTTGTTTAAGACTTTAATGCATTTTAAAAATTGTTCCTTCTTTGTTTTTTTAGGCTTAGATACTCTTGGTGTCAGAGCCCAGAAATACTCGCAAGGACTTACTTTACTTTATTGTATATTTAACTTGGGGGTAAAGCTGAGAGAGAAAGAAGATAATTGCGCTCTAAATCTTTACAATTCGATTGTTTTAAGGATTACTTGGAAAATAGGGGTACCAACTCGAGAAAAAACGGAAAAATGCTATCCTCACAACATTGCATTGGAAACGGAGGGAGTAAATTTGATGGTCACCCTACCAAGCCTGTCTTCTGAAGAGTAAATTATAACTAATTAATCATGGTTCTTTAGAGATTATCCTTCCAAATATCATACAAATCGATAAAAAGCCAATATCTAGTATAAAACAACTGCGATGAAAGAGCAAAAATATCCTTTCAAAAAAGGTATGTTGATTAAAAGTGTATATCACCTAAATTGCAAACTTTGCGATCCCTTACTATACTTGATGCGCTGTTTACGAAAATCGAATTGATAATTTGCTATTTCTTTTGCTTTTCCCGTTGTATGCGCGCAAAAGTGGCCTAAATAAGCATATTTCTTATTTCCGCATCCACTCCACATCAGCCATTGGTTCATCAGCGTAAGCTTCTAAGCACCCAGCTTCGACGTTTTCAGTCCCTGCATGCTCATAATCTAAACTTTCATCCACTTATTCATGATCAGTAAAGGAACTAGGATTTGACGAGATGTTGGATGCTTCGGGATCAGAGTCGGCCATAATTTAATTCGCAAGGTTTCGAAAGACGTTCTGGTTTCTACGTCATGAAAGACTAAAGCCTAGACCTCTATAAAATGCGCGGATTGGAAACAAAAATCAGAGACTTTGGGGGCCTTTTTCGAGGGCTTGCGTTGCTCAAAACGCTTTTTAAATTTGATATTTGAACTCAGCGCAGTTGTTTCAGTTGGTTTAATCTCTATCCCAAATTAGGTGAAATGCACTTTAAAATATACATTTCTTTATAAGTACCTCACACCAATGACATTCTGATTGTTTTTCTTTGCTAACTTGAGTAATGCCTCGGAGTCTTCCGCAGCAACTCCAAACTTTTTCCCAAGCTGAAAAAATTATTTGTGCAAAAAAATTAAATATATGCGCAATACATTGTCCAACGTATTCAAAAAACACACTGAACAATTTATTGTTTAGCTAAACTTTTTCATACATTTATAAAGATTCTGATTGATTGATTGCCTGATTCATTGAAATGATTAATTGATTTATGCCCTATGCACATACCGTAAATCCTCGATCGCCCCCCCCCCCCTTGAAAAAGTACCCCTTTGAAAAAGGCTCCACCCTAGAACTGAAAATTGTTAATAAGCCCCCCTCCTCGAAAAAGCCCCACTGCTACTGTTAATCCTCGAATTTGCCCCCCCCCCCTCGATTTGTTTATCGTTGCTATCTGAGGTTGAATCAATTTTATAAAATATTTGGTGCGGGTACAGCTTAAAGAAAGTTATGATGAGGGCGCAGCTAGAAAATGCTAGATTTTCCCACGCAATCAATGTAGCAGACAGGAACACTTATGGTAGTATTTTCTAGTATAAATATCCAGTTCAAAATTGTATTTATTCTAGGTGTAAATTGTTTGTACCTACTGTAAATAAATCAATAACGATAACAATAACAAAATCTAGGGAATCTCGGGAACCTAATTACCTTGAACCGGGATTTCGAGTCGTCGACACGGATCCGTATTAACAGTTCCGCATCCGGGTAAATTTTTTTGATTTTCTGCAGTTCATTTTCACAGTCAAACGTCATCATAGCAACTTTGTTCTCGGCTGCATAACGTAAATGCGATGCCATTTTGATGGTATGCGCAAAAATGATGCGATCTGGCGACACACCCAAGCTAAGTACGGCCTCCATCTCACTTTTACTGGCACAGTCGAATCCGAGGCCATAATGACTCAACAACTTTAGGACGAGCCGCTCTGGAACACATTTTACAGCTGAATGAAATAAAAAATTTATCAGTGGCAGACGATGAATTATAATTAATATCAATTTTGAGCGGATGGAACTGAAAAAGTGAAAGCACGCTCGCATTTGATGTGAAGTAATGAACAGTTACCCACCATAGAATGGCTGTACATTTGGAAGAAACTTCTTGAAAGACGCAATTCTTTCAAGTATTTCGCTAACATTTCCAACGTAAAATGGCTCGTCATTGCCCTGTGTGGAGAAAGGAAAAATTTGTAAATGCTTTTATGAAAGAAGGAAAAAGTCATAACAAAAATATAAAGAATGGCAGGGAATTGAAAAAGAAAGCGAGAAGAAGCAAGAAAAGAAGAAGCCAGGGAAATACAGAGGTACCTTCCTCATGAAAATTGAAAAAATTGTACTACCCAACTTTTCTTTTCATGCACTTCAATTAATGAGGTTTGTAGCCACATTTAACATTGATAAAACGTCAGCAACGTAGAGTCGGGAATTTTCCTTTCTTTGCGCAATTTCAAACAATAAGCCAAAATAAAACGCATGTATTTTTTAGAACAATGACTAAGTGACCTTTCTGCGTCAAAATAAAGTGTAATTTGACCACATGGACCGCGGGAGCGGGGCCTACGGGGGCTTTAGCAGCTCCCGATGATTTCCAAAATGTACTTAAAATCATACCAAAAATCGCCTGCTCTTGACTTTTAGCATGTTTCGCCCCTAAGACGCTCTAGCCCCCTTAATCTGTAGATTGCTCCGCGGTCCTTGCTTGACCGTAGTCATTAAAGAGGAGGGGAGTCAAGACGGTATAAACCAGGGGGTACACTAGTTTTCAACAAAGAAGCGTCAACAAGGGCTGGGACGCCTTGGATATTCTTGGGGAGTATCCATCTATACCGGATATATAACATTTTTAAATATTGTCTTGAATTTTTCATAAACATATGTTGAATATTTCATTTTAGAATCTTTGAAAGATGAAGAAATCAATTCAACACTGAATGAATTTTGGAGGCACAAAGAATGGGGGTTGTTAGATGTTGGCAACAATAATAACGCCGACCAGGCACAAGGCCATAAGGCACAAGGCGACAAGGCACAAGGCAACGTCCCCTTGACCCTTAAAACAAAGACACGAAGCCAATAGAAATGTGGCGTTTTTATAATCTTTTTTAGAATTTCTCAATCTTAAAGGGGAAATGAAGTGAAAAATGAAAACCGGTTGAAAAGTAGTTTTCATCGTGCTGATTTTTAATATCGGAACGAAACCTGTGTTTTTCCTTTCGTTTTGCCGCATTAACCACGAGAAGTGTGAAATTTCTCCATTTCCGTGGCGGAGAGGTCTGGAGACGAGTTTCAGGCGCTGACGTAAAGTCGTGGACACGTGCCCCGATCCCAAGCATGGAAACGAAAACAACATTGTGGTATAGTGAATCGAACGGAGGGAATTCGGTTGTAGTTAGAATTACAGCTTGCGATTTGCACGACAGCTATTCAGGAATGTCAACAGACTCAAGATGGAGCGACGAGGAAGTGTTTGGGGCATGTGAGGCCCTATAAGGGGTATTTGAAATATGAAATAATTGAGATTTTTGGGATGAAAATATAAATATTTAGGTTTTTGAGTCTTTAAATATGAAATAACTTTGGTTTCCAGTATGAAATGTGGAATAACAAAATAACTGAATACCTCTTTAAATGTTGTGTGAGAATTATCTAATTGATAACAGCATTGACAATTTATACATTCCAAAAAGTTACATAACAAGCTACTTTACATACACTACAATGGCGATGCCCCGGGCAGCATTAACTCTGTCTACCCCGGGAGCATAATATAGAGAGAAGAAAAATGCATGTTTGTTATTACAAATACTTAAAGATATAAGAGACTATTGATCTCAAGCATTGACTCAAGTGACTATTGATCTGTAGACCTGTTAAGATACCAACCATATTACACCTGGGTTTAAAAGGCTTTTCATACTTTACGTTTAAGAAAAATACCAATAGCATAAAATCTACCGCAAATACTTTTGGCTTGTATTATCTCAACGAAATAGACGAGAACATCAAATAACATCATAAACATGTTTATATATCTAAATTGCTTCTTCCACATACACTTACTAGGAATTCTTCCTAAGACCACTAAACCACTGTTTTGTAAGCCATTTAAGATGCAGGATTGATTTGCTGGTAATAATATTCAGAAAGATATTGTTCATTCTTCAATTTCTTTATCTGGAGCTAACATTCACCGAAAGTTATTCTTATCTTGAAAATGTTGTTTCTGACCACATCTTTGATTTGACCATATCTTTGATTTGGATTGACCAGTATGGCGCCAATAAGTAATGCTAAAAGTAATTATAAGTTACGCAAAAAGATCAAACTATAAGGCAATATTATGGAAAGCCACAAACACGCAACCGTAAAAAGAATTTGGTCCACTCCAACTCAGTGGCGTAGCGTGACTTTTTTAACTGGGTATTCTATATTAAAGAAAAGGGTGAGGCAGGGTGTGGCTCGGTGGGGGCTTGGTGAAAACAGGGGATAATAGGAAGATTAAAAGGACTAGCTATTGACATTTTATCTAATTTTCTTTTTGGTTCGTTTGGCAAGTACTGCACTGTCAGGGCATTACTATGATCAAGATGAAAACGATACTAAAGAACCCAACGCAAATACACTCTTCAAACTCATTCATTGCATCAAATTACCACTAACCATTTCATCACAAGTAATTCAAATCAAAACATATCATTGAAAGTCAGTAAAAATATACTCGTCGAAATATGTCCCAATAGTTGTTGTTGAATCTGATGTAAAGAGGAAGTAACTGTAAACACCTACTCTGATACCTTAAATAGCGAGAGAAGGCTTTCCAACGTTTTATGAAAATTATTC